ACTCTTTCCTGCCTTCTGATTACTGACTGGTTACATTGCCCTCGGCTCCCTTTTTCATGCTTTTCTCAGCAATCACAAAGGCTAAACACTCTCCTGATTTGCAGCCAAGACTCTGACATAACTCTGCTCCTCAAGTCCTGCAATTTTTAAGAAAAACAGGAAATATTCCAAGACTTGGTGTAAAATCCTGGCTTGACAACACCAAAAGCTTCCTTGGCACTGATGGTGCTGTAGATATGGACTTAGTACCGAGATTGTCACTGCCACTTCCCCGCACCGTTGGAAAGCTCCAGCTCCTGTGCGAGTCGTATTCACAGCTACAATCCAGCCGGGACGACCGAGTAGCCACAAGGAAGCGGCAGAGCTTGCGGCAGGCCCCAGCCCAGTGACTTCTGTGCACTTCCAGTGATCCCCAAACAACCCGTACTGTACTCACCTGGGAAAAGGATCCAGAGCCAAAGAGGGAGCATCTGCATGGTCCTGGTCCCTCCGAGTGAATCTGGTCTCTCTGTGACAGCCCTGTGACCTGCTTCCTTTTAGGAGAGAGAAAAATGGGGACCTCATTTGTGAGACTCGTTGACCACTTCTCTAGTTTGCAGTTTCTCTCACCTGCCTACCCTTCATGTGAAAAGGCTGGTGTTCGGCTGCAGAAGGAAGTGGTTCACCATCGATTCTTCTGGCAATGGCTGCGCCCGGACGCTTTGTAAAGAAAGCAGCAGTGTGGTGTGAGATGAAGCTGATTACACCGGCTGGCAGACTGAGGGTCTTGGGAAAGGGTTGAGGATTGCAACAGACTCCGAGGCTGCATCTCCCCTGAGGGCTGATTGGGGTAACTGGATGGCGCAGACCCTGTTTTGCAAAACTTAAGTCATCAGAAACTATCAGTGTGCCCAAGTCACGTGATGGTCATAAATACCCCTGGCTCAAACCCTTGCACTGCCTCATTCGCACCAAGGACTTGAACATCAGTCTCCTACATCGTGAGTGAGTGCCCAAGCCCCCAAGCTATGGCTGTTCTCAGGTATGCATTGGTGGGGTGGAGGCAGCTGAATGCGGTAAAAAAAGAAAGCGCTGAAGAGCTTACAATCCATACAGTGGTTTTATATTTTTTTTATTTAGAGTCAGAGGACTTTTAAAAAGTTCCTACCTTCTGCATGTCTCCATATTAATCATAAAATAAAATGAAACAAATGAAAAGAAATATCAAAGAAATGCCTTCACAATCCTGGGAAGGGATGTGACCCATTCTGAAAGATATATTTACTTGCATGTATGTTGTTCGTCTGCCAGACAGATTGACAGGCTCCGCCGAATCCCTGCGGGGATGCAGTTTGTGGTGGACAAGCGAGCCAAAGTTGGGACTCAAGTTGTGCGGAAGCCTTGCTGTGTCTGACGAGAAACTGCTTTGAAAACACGTCTTCTTTTTGAGAGGGATGGTCTTTCCTAGCACCTCTAGCCACCGGTCACAGCCCTGGATGCACAAATGCCAGCAATGTTCCCAGCTGTCCACCGAAGCCTGGACTTGATGCTTTCAGCAGATGAAGGGTATTTTGACCGAGGTGAGAATGACTTCTAGGGTTCCCGGTCCCTCTTGGAGAAGGCTTACCCAGGAGCTCCTACTTGTTCCTGAGGTGCCTGCACTGATTGTGGGGATGGTATGGACAGCCCCGTGTCCCTTCATCGCTGTGCTAGCCCCTGTGGCTTCTGTGGGGCCTGAGCCTGCTGTGTATTTGGTTTGGCGCTCTCGCCGCCTTGTCCCTGGACAAAGTGTTGCTTCCTCTTCTGCGGGCACAGGACTTCCCTGGTCCAAACAGCTGTTATCCGCAGGAAATGGGGTTTATAGCACAACTGAGTATTAAGGAGTCAGGCCTCAGAGGACGGTGAGCAGGGACAGATGCAGGCTGATAGCCTGCCCCAGATCCTGATGATGTAGAGGGCAAAAAGGACTGAGAGGACAGAGGGTTAAAAGGGCCCAGCAAACACATTCGATGTAGGATCAGCCAAACTCCAAATGCAATTCAGGTGCCATTCCCACAAGGGTGGTGTGTGATTGGCTCTTTCCCCCTCGCTTTTATCCTGCAAACTGATCTCACCTCTGAGGCAAGGACAAATCCCCCAGGACACGAGGCTGGGGATGCCCCTTTCTTCTGCTGGTGCCTCTCAGTTCAGAGGCTGGGAAAGAGGCAGGTTCTGAGCTGCAAGGAAGAGGCAGAAATCATTTGTGAGTGGGTGGGAAACACTGGAGGCTAGTGGCTTTTTTGTTCATACACAAAGGTGCCTTTCCTCTGTGGTCAGCCATAGAGTCCTCGGCCATATCATGGCCTATCCAGTGCAACACTGGAGCCCCCAGGGGCTGCATTGTGGTTGAGCACATAGGAGGGATCTGGACTGTCTCCCTCCAACACAGGTGGGGTCCAGGGCTGGGCAGTGCATGGGGCACTGACTTCACTTCCCCTGTGGCACTGAAGACCAGCCAAGGACTTGCACTACGTTGGGCAGGGATTACTCCATCCTCACCATGGGGAAAATGGAAAGGACATAATGCCTCTGGCAGGCCAGTGACCTTCCCAGGGTGCTTCTTGGCAACGTAGCACTTTGCTACCCCTTCCTCAGTGTTCCCGGAGCAACCGTGCCTGAGCCCTTGGAGACCAGAACCGGGCATTGGAGGGTGCGAATGCTGGCTGCTCTCACCAGGTCTGCTGTGCACTGTGCTTGTGGACCTCCTCCTGGCGCGCACAGCCACGCAGATCGCCGCAGAGATCAGACCCAGGAGGAACAGAGCGGGGAGGAAGATCACGGCCAGGATGTAGATGTGGGTCTGCTGTTCTCTGCACAGATATAAAAGGCAATGGAGACTGCAAAGCCTGTCAATATAGCTCACCTCTTCCAATCAGCATCACCTGGCTGTTCTCTATCTGTAGGAGCACAAGGGCTCAGCCTCCACCCCAGCTATATACCCCAAACCTACTAAGGGGATTCAGCCCCACACTTATGGTGTCACCAAACCCAAAGAGCTTGTGTCCAACAGGTCCATGCAAATAGGTTTCCCCTTGTTTTAGATCTGGATCCAGCCTGTCTCACCCTGCAGGCTGTTGCTGCTAAAGGCTGTGCTAGTTTTCCCATGTGATGTGTGCTAGAAGACAGGATTCTTTGTGCTGCTCTGGGGAAGGGGCCTGAGGGGATTCTCCTTTTTCTAAGTTGGCCACAGGCATCCTCATGTCCTGTGGACCCCTCCTCACCCTCAAGGAGATATCCAGGGACGTTCCTAGTGAAGCCTGGAATAGGAGCCCTTTCTGACAGGTGCCAGTAGGAACAGCTGAGATGCTCTGGAAGCAAAACAGGGTGTGAAGGTCTCTGCCCAGCTATGGGCTGCAGCGGGGCAGATCCCACAGACCCACTGGAACTTAATCCCTGCAACATACTGGTCCTGAATGCTCTTGCCGTTGTCGTCCATGGGGCTCGATGCAGACGGTCTGGATGCATCTTCATCAGTCACCGTCCACGTGAAGGCAGAAGCCTCTGGCTGCTCTGTTGATTTTGTCATCTTTACAGCCGCGTTTGAAGGAGGAGCTGGAAACAGGAAGAGAGACTCAGCCCCGCTGACACCAGCCCCTGCCCCTGAACTCCATGTGTCTATCCCAGAGCCTTCCCAAATTAGTCCCGGCCTGCATCAGAGCCTCAGCTTTGCTTTGGGGTCGATGCCTCCTTGCAGCATTGTGGGATGGATTTTTCCTGCTCCTAAGCACTAAAACCTTTATACCAATGCTTGGAGTGGTGGGAGGCTGTGCCTAGATGTGGAGTAGTGTCACCAAGGACAAAGCATAAGGCAAGCTGTCATTGAGCTGTCCCATGGGCACCCTTGTTAGCTTGGCCAACACCCCTCACTCCCTACCTGGAGCGACTTAGTGATACAAATCACCTCCTTTGTTTTTACATCCCCTGTGACACTTTAATTACAGATTAAGTTGTAATAAAAGGGGGAGCAATAAAAACTCATAGCCTCTGTTCTAGCGAAGTCTGATAAAAGAGGGACTATCAAACTGTCGCCTCAAGTCACAAAATGCCAGGACATCAGTTATTCCGGATAGCACAGCCTTTAGCTTGCATGGTTGGGGAATGAATTAGTCATAGTGACTGAAATGGCTTTCAACACATCTCAACCATTTGGTGTCTGACCAAGAGTGATAACTATTATCTCCCCAGAGACCTCAACACATCAGGAGCAAAATAAAATTGCAAAGGAAACAGGCAAATCACTCCTAGATTGCTTTGCAGTGCACACAAATCTTGGGAATGAAGAGCAAGGCTGGAGAAGATGAGGGTCATTTGGAGTTGACCTCCCCTACTCGACCATCAATCTCTGCCCAACTTGCCCCAGCTGCCTCTGCAGTAGATTCCCACCCCTTGCCTTTGCCTGGGAGGGTGTGGAGCAGGGAGGTACCTGGAGACACGATCACTTCCACAGAGTCTCTGGGATGGGGCAGCCCAGTCCTTGCCACCCCACATAGGTAGATCCCAGTGTCTGCCTGGGTCAGGCTCTCCAGGGTCACCGTGAACATGTGCTGAATGTGGTTGTCCAGGATGGAGACTCGGCCCCAGTGCATCTTGGCCTCTGTCCCATTGGTCTCCAGGATCTGACTGAGGATGCACAGCATGATTTTGCGTCTGCACCAGAATTTCGGATACTCTTCGTAGCCTTCCTTATAGTGGCATGGCACAGACACCGACCCGCCTTCTGGACCATGCACTGTGCCAGGGCCTCTTACTGCCCAGCAGCCTGGTGGAGACAGAGATGATGAAAGCTTTTTTTTGGACAGCACTGGCTCACCCCCAGCACCTGGGGAAAGTGGAGTAGAGGCTGAAGCCTTTGGAAAGGGTCTGTGGAAGTGGAGAACAAGAGACCAGAAGTGGGAAAATTGGGCAGAGCTGGCATTCCTCCCAGCTGGACTTGTGTCACTTCAACTAGACAAGGGAATGCAGCCGGCAGAGAGCAGTGTTGTCAGCCAGCTTCTCAGCACTAAGCTGAAGTAAATGGCTTTGTTTCTCTCTCCTTCCCTACTCCTCTTAGATGGACTTGCACACATTTCACTGCTGACTGCAGATAACAGGGCAGCTGTTGTTTGATACAGATTGTTCATATCTAGCTTTTCCTGCCTTAATGCCAAGGCGGTTTTCCCCCCATGTGGTTGAGTTTTCCTTGACCCCGCTAAATCAAGATGAATAATTAGCTCTGCACTGGATCTGCTGGGCTTGGCTCCCAAAATATTCCAGGTTCAAAGTCAGGTTCCAGATCACCAGATTTTGCTAAATAATAATTTCCTTGGCTCTACCTTTGCCTTAGCTGAAGCCTTGGGGACACCCTTGGATCACATCTCCAGACTTTTCTGCACAACCAGAAGCACTAACAATGTAATCTCACTAGATTTGAGGCTGGGATTCTCGCAGAATCCCTTGAAAACACCAGCTACAGTCCTCCTCAAGGTTCGGTTTCACGCCCTCGGTGGAAGTGAGGGTTTGTGAAGCAATGGGGTTGTACAGAGCCACAGCGCACAGCCGCCTAGCACTGGTGAAGTGCACGAGCCACATGAAGAAGCAACAGCCTTTGAAGCAAAAGCCACAACAAACGCCTGGGCAGATGGTCTTTAATTCAGAACCTGCTGTGAATTAATATGGGGATTACCAGGATGTGAAAGAAAGCTGGTGTGCACTGTCTCTCCTAACCAAAAAGTTACAGTAGTTGGCAACACCTCATTGCCAACGACAGGCACCTCCCGTGGTGCAAGCAGCAATCCAGCCCTGAACTCTTTTAACGGTTCTGCACAGCTCGGAGACGCCATCTCTTGTGCAAACTATAACTGTCTTACGAGATTACTTAGGGTTTTCCTGTTTCAATAGGGAAGCCAGCAGAGCTGGTAGCCTGTGCTGGACCAGCTATTTCAGAGAAGCTCCAGTAATTCAAAGCATCCATGTGGTACTCACCTACGAAAAGAAACCAGACTGAAACGGGGGATGTCCACATGGTCCTGCTTTCCTTTGCAGGTCACTGTTTCGCTGGGAAACTCTGGCTTCTCTGGGATCTGCAAGAGACCCTCGGCTTTCTACAGCAGCTGCAAGCCCTGAGGCTCACTGACCAGTTCCTCAAGCTGGGGCTTTGGGACGGCTCAGCTGCCTCACTTCCCCACAAGGAAGCTCCTACTTAGCTGTCAGACTCTTGGCCTCATTTCTGTATGGGCATTAGTGGTTGACAGGAAATTTTGGTCTTGCATGTTCCCTTCTCTGAAACCCTTGGCTGATTTGCATGAAAACCTCAGGCTGTGTCAGCACTGAGGGGTTAGCTGTTTGGTGCAGCCGCTGAAGTTATTCATTATTCTTTCTGTGGCCGATTCTGAGGATTGCCAGCCTCATGGCCAACATGGCTTTCAAAAGTCCCCACCTTAATGAGACTGGTTTTAAAAGCACAGGAGTTAAAACTGTCTGAATATGAGGTTTCCTTTCTTCTTCTGATTTGCAAGAGAGAGGTAACGTAATGGCTCTGATGCGGGCAAGCCTGGGGTGAACCTGGAAGTGCCATGGGGCCAGACTTTGGGAGAGGAATGGGCAAAATGGAGGGAAGGGCAAGTTAATTCCTCTCATCCCAACATCTTTAGTCAGGGTGGGATGTTACCATAGGTGTAAGGAGCAGGGGTCCTAATGATGCAGGAAGGAGAGTGAGGACAAGAAGGGAAGTGGAGAAGGGCCAACCGGGAATAGAAGGTAGAAATGCCAACGTTAGCAAGCCTGGTGCTTCCACACGCTGCCTCCTATAAAGGCAGTGGGGGCAGGAAACATAACTAATGTAACAGCTGCAAAGTTCACCTGGCTGCAAGCCAAGTGGGTGATCTGTGCTTAAGAGCTCTGCAAGGAAGAGGCAGCAAAATCTTGTAGAGGGTGCATAAGCCTGACCAGTATGCAGTGTACGATGCATGCTTCTTATTGGAGTGTTTAAATTGTGACAAAACCTACATTGCAAACCAGGGGCTCTGATTACCTGTTACGGAGCCATACAAGCTGATGGAGGCAAAAGAAAAAAAAGGAAAGCAGAAGCTCAAAGGAGGGGGACAAGGAGCAGACCCCAGTCCTGAACAGAGGCAGGGCAGACTCAGCCCAAGCCGGGGGGAGACTGGGAGAGAGCCTGTATTGTCCGATGAGAAGCTAATCCCCCGGCAGGTTCAGAGCTGTGCAGCCAGGGACACAGGTGCCAGGGAAA